ATCAAAGCTCAATCAGTGGGTACTAACACCAAAGCAGATTGAGTTAATTGATAAGGCGGGATTCGGGTATTTGAAATTCATTCCTGCAATTAGCATAGACAATCCACTAATATCTGCCTTAGTTGAAAGATGGCGTAGGGAAACAAATACATTTCACCTGACAGTTGGGGAAATGACTGTAACCCTTGAAGATGTTGCCTATTTACTTGGACTTGCAATTGATGGAGAACCTGTTATTGGGGTCACATATACTTCATGTGATGCTGTATGTGAAAGATATTTGGGAAAGGCACCAGATTCTGGATACACTAGTGGTGGCATGGTGAAGCTCAGTTGGCTGAAAGAATGCTTCTCTCGTCCTGAAAATGCATCAACTGAAGATATAAAACGCCATACCCGGGCTTATCTTCTTTACCTTGTTGGAAGTACAATTTTTTCCACTACTACTGGTAATAAGGTCCCAGTGATGTACCTTCCTCTGTTTGAGGATTTTGACCACAGTGCAAGATATGCATGGGGTGCTGCTGCATTGGCTTTTTTATATAGAGCACTAGGTAATGCATCACTGAGATCTCAGAGCACTGTTAGTGGCGGCTTAACACTATTACAGGTACTTAATTCTGCTTGTTTTTTTAACTTATATTGTAGATTCCTTGAGATTTCTTTTTGTGTGTGGTGACCTTAACTTTTTTTTTTTTTTTTTTCCCAGTGTTGGAGTTACTTCCACCTGAATATTGGCAGACCCAAACTTCCCCAAGATTCATATTATGATACCTTTCCTCTAGTTCTTCGGTGGAAAGGAAAACAAAATGGTCCTACTACAAATCGAGACATAACCTTCTATCGTAAGGCGTTGGACTCGTTAAAGCCGGCTGATGTACGCGTACCTGATCAGTCTCTCTATATATAAGTTTTGGATAATTTTCAGATGACAATGGGTTTTCATTCTGTTCCATTGCAGGTAGACTGGTTTCCCTATCAGAATGTTGACCCCATGGTAATACCTGATAATATAGCTAGCAGCTTAATTTTGGGGAGGTCTAAAACGATGCTGATATGCTTCGATAAGGCAGAGAGGCACCTACCAGATCGTTGTATGAGGCAGTATGGCATGCCTAATCAACCTATCCCAGAATCAGTAGACCGATGGGAAAGGAAGAGCCGTGGAGTAGATGGTGGGGTGGACTTGTCTGGAAAAATGGAGTTGGAGCTCAAAGAATGGTCAGAGCGGCATATCCATATCATGCATAGTGGAGAAGATGCTGATGATAGCAAATATATGCACTGGTATTTGAGAATTACTTGTAGATTTGTGGGAAGACCAATTCCTCTTGCGTCCGAGTTTCAAAGAATGGTAATGTTTTTATTTTCTTTTTTTTTTCTCCGTTTTGAATGTTGGATTAAATAGAAATTTATTAAAAGCCACAATTTACTCTTAATGATTTTTACAAAACCTCTGTTTTGAACTTTGTTATGCTCTTTGATTGCATACCACTGACCAGTACTTTCTTTCATCAAATAGTACTGGACATATCTAAAGACAAGGAGTAATTGACAAGAATAATCCCAACTATTGGTGGTTTGTTTTTTTTATAATTTCAACCATGAACTTTTTTAAAATTATCTCAACAATAGAAGGTGTCTTCTTAGATTGATTCCATGTGATTCTTAAACGGAAAAGCAGGTAAATTTATTTATTTTCTTCATCCTCTTCTTCCTCCCTGCCAGTAAGTCCTCCAAGCGCCAATTCCCTTGGACCCTTGCTCAGCCAAGTCAAGTTACTCCCTTGATTTCCAAGCCCAATCTCACGCATATATTAGCTTCTTCCCCTAAAAGAACAGCCACCTTGGATCTATCCTGAGTCCTGCCCAATAGCCTTTGCCATCATCGCCCCATTCTCTTTGCCTACTTCATTCAATTACCATTACCCCTACCTTCTCAACCCCAACCAAGCCACCTGGACCGCCTCTGCTATGCCCCTTCTGTTTCCATTCTCAACCACCCCTCCCCCTTCTCTATCTAAATTCAAGAACAAAAGGCATCCACCATTACCAACACACCTTTTCTTTTCTCATTCTTTAATGTTTTCTCTGCTATCTTTTAATCGTGAAAACAAGTTTCCATGCTGCTGCCCTTTTTGGAAACCACACTCACTACCTGCACTTGACATTACCGTCAGATATTCCCACCATGTAAATCAATGACTCCTTACTTGCCACAAAATTTTATTTTCTGAAATCAAAGTCAGGGTAGTACAATTTAGCAACAAAAAAAAGTTATTCTCGAAGTTCTATCCATCCTCATTGTCAAATCTTATTTGCCGAAAAGTGTCCCCACCACTGTAATTGCTTACCTTGCAACCAAATACCACCTGAGCTCTCTTTTAATCTTTTGGTTGTGCCCAAAAAGGGTAGAGGAGATGAAGTAGGGGAGTTGCTGAAAAAGGGGAATGGAGTGGGGGAGGAAAGTTGTTGGGAGATAGGATGGGATCTCGTGGGGAAAAAATGGGGTGGAGAGATGGTGGTAACAGGAGAATTCTAACCTAATAACCATTTTCTTCAGGTCACTGGACAGTTTTGGATCGGCATCCACATAGTTAGGGTTATTTTGGAATAATTCATAGTTGAAATTATAATAAGTGGCTGTCAATAGTTGGAATTATTAATTTCAATTTCTCCTTGAATTTTTTTGTTTTTGTTTTTGTTTTTTAAGTGAACTATGCTTTAAAAAAATGTTTGGTTTTGGTTAATCTCTTTCTTTTTGTTCCTTTTTTCCATGTCTTCATTTTTCTACTTTTCAAATAAATTGTAGAATGCAACCCTACGTGAAGTCGCACACATTTCTGATACAATGTCCCTACAAGGATTGGATAATGAGCAAATACACTCAATAACCAGGATCAGATATATCATTCATGAGTGTTTACGTGACCAAGCAGGAAGTGTTGTCACAGTAGCATCACCATCGCCAGAAAATGAGAATTGCAACAAGAGAGGTAGGGGTAAGGAGAAGATCAGAAGAAAAGGAATGGGAAAACGAAGGCGGAAAGATGAGTTGGAGCAATGTGAAGAGGATAACACATGTAGAGACGACCAATTAATACCAAATTATGCTTTAACTGATATTGAATATGTACAACAGATGCATCACCCAGTTCGTTTGGTCAATCATCATCACCCCCCCTGTCATCCAGACATTGCAAGCGTAAATGAAGAAGATATGGATGAATCTCAGCTTTGTATTTCTGTGAATGAAGTAGGTGATGCACAGATCTGCTTGCATGAGAGTGGGGTAGTAACTGCCATGCCTTCTTGTGACGATGTTGATGGATCACAACCGTCAGACTTCATTGATCATCAAGACGGGCATTGCCCTCCATCTGATGAGGACACCAAACTTGATCATGAAAATGGAATGGTTCCAGATTTCGCTAATGAAGAGGAGCCCAGCGACTTATCTGATGAAGACACTAAGGTTGATGAACATGGAGCTAATTTGATTCAGAGAGAGGACCATATTTCCTCTCCTCTTGATGATAGCACACAGTCTCCTGAGATGCCTATGAAGGTACATCCTCATTCATCTCATGAAAGTGAAGAAGATATTTCTCGGCAATCTAATAATGGTATCAAATCAACATGAACAGTCCAATTTATTCACACATTGTTTCTACGAAAATTGCATTTTCTCTGTAGCCTACTAACAAATTTGGATTACTGATCTTTGTTTTTACATCAGTAGAATCCAAACCCTCATCACCAGATAACTTTGTTGAACAACTGTTTCCAAAGTTGAGATGAAACGACGAAGTCATCATGTCACGTCATTGATTCTGTATAGAGAGCTTCTATGTTTATCAACTAGATATGGAATTAGACTATGTTCTCAATTTTGACTGTAAATATTTATTAAAACTTATTAATTGATTTATTGTTATGCTCAAGGATAAAATGTACTCCCTCCGTCCCTAAATTACATTCATCCTTTCTATTTTTGGTATTCCAAAATTACATTCCTTCTTTCTATTTTTGGTAATTTTTTTTAGTAAATCAACTCTCTTTTTCTGTTTTATATTTAATGCTTTCTCACTCATCCTTACCTAATCTCACTCATAATCCTTGTGCCAAATTACAATGAATATGATTGGTTAAAAATTTTCAATTAGGAGCATGTGATTGGTCCTTTTTTTTTGCAAAGGATTGATGACATGTCATGAGTAATAACTAATCTATCTTTGTACTTCCCATTGCATTATCTAATTATTGTTATTTGTCCTATTCTTTCCTCCTTAATTTCCGTGTAAATTTTCAAAGAGGAATGTAATTTAGGGACGGAGGGAGTACTTTATATATATACTCATAGTTTCTTGGAGGAGGCAAAGGAGTTTCACGCTCACTCTTAATGACCTCAATATATTAACCTCAAATGTTTACAAAAATGTTTTGAAGTTCCGCAAATATTGCAACATAAAAGTTATGCGGATTTTAAGATGAAGAGAGAGGGGGGAAAAGCATATGCAAATAGGAAAACATTGCAATAGTCAATAGATATGAAACTTTTATAAAAGCAAGGTCAACGTAGTAATATGTATTAGATAGAAAAAGTTCGATTAGTTGCCAAAACATTGTCAATAATCTCAACATGATAATTATGATAACCTAACAGAAATTTTAAATGAAGATGAGTTTATTCAGTTTTAAAAAGTTCTAAACTTTACTTTTAACTTAACAAATATATCTTAAGCTTGAACTTAGCTCAACTCATCATCATATAATTCATTTCTTGTACTCGATTTTCATATAGCCTCCAATTACCCTTGATAGAACACAAGTTATTATCGGAAAGTCAAATCACGACGAATCTTTCATACAACACACGTATTTGGATGCAAAGAGCTTCACAATTGATTCCTCAAATGGCAAAAGAGAACTTCACAATTTTTTTAATGACCGACTAATGTGTTGCATACAAGCTTTGGAATTTGAACAGATAGCCTGAGATTGTGAAATTTCATATTATCTTTTTCAGAAAACAAAATGGTAGAAGTTGCTCCTACAGAAGGGGAGAAAGAGGTACAAATTACGAATCCGTAAAACTAGCAAATACTGTGTAACAAAAAAAAAAAAAAAAAAAAAAACCTAGAAAATACTGTGTAACTCAACTCTATGAGGGCAAGAAAGATAATATTCCTTTTATAAATATAGACCATATATAAAAGAGTCAATATGCTGGTAATCAACTACTGCAAGTGCGTCACAAAAAATTCTCCACGGCAAGTGGTTGGAGATGTTCACAATTCTATGACTACTAACCAGCATTTGGAGCGGTTTGTTCAGCAGCTTGTTTCTTTGGACAGGCAGAAGAAATGTGACCGCGTTCACCACATTCATAGCAAGTCCTCCTCTTAAGCTTCCCAGAGCTAACCCCGGTATTATTCTCTGGTGGTTGTACTACTGGTGGAAAAACTTCATCATAACTCTCTTCAGGTTGTACAGCTGCTGGCATAATAACACTATAATTCTCTTCAGGTTTTACAGCTGGTGGCATAACTCCAATATTATTCTGTTGAGGTTTTACAGTTGATGGTGCTGAGACAGACCCTGGATTTCTTATACCTGCTCTCACAGGGACTGCACGACTTATCTTCACAGTCCGTCCACTTACTACCTGCTGATCCAGTTTCAATGCTTTTGTAAGAGAGTCGCTGTCAGAGAAGTCCACATGTGCGTATCCTTTGAATTCTCCAGTCTCTTTATCCTCCCCAAATCGGATGGACGTTATATTACAATCAGAAAAGAACTTTTGCAAGTCTTCTTCTGTGATATCCCATGACAAGTTTCCAGCATATATCCTGTTGTAGCCCTCTATGACTGGTGGGATAAAGGCTGATGATTTAGTGGTACGAGTTGCCTTGTAGGGTTGAATTTTCAGGTAAAAGCCATCCCTGAGATAAGAGCAGATTGACACAAGTATATGAATGATGTGAAACTTAAGTAAGACAAAAAATCAATAGACAGATGCATATTGGAAAACACGTACATCTCAGATCCATCTAGTGCCAGGGCTTTTTTAGCAGCCTCTTCTGTCTGCAAAAAGCATGATAACATTATAAAATAAGGAAAGTACAATATATTGACCAAGCACAAGGAAGAGAGAATTTATTGTAAAAAGACTCAAAACCAAGGATATCAAAAAAGCATGTTTATACATCAAAATTATAGTATCATCCAGTAATCTAGGCAGTAACACCAAAGCCTTAAAATAACCGAGCAGCTACAACTTCCAAGTCTCTCCAACCCCCTATAAGATGGCATTCTCCACCACCCTATAAGATGTCATTGTCAAATTGTTTAAGTGATAATGACTTACCAAATTGAAGGAACTCTACAAGTAATTAATAGTTCGCTACAGTAAACATGACAAAGTAAGATCACTGGCACAATGGTTAATTTATGTAAAATATATCAGGAATCAGGCCTGCATATCTTGAAGCCAGAGGATTACAAAGGTTAGTTGCTTTGATTGATACAAACGAGAACTAATTTAAACTTCATAAAAATGAAAATCCTCTGGAAGTATTTCAGTCATAGTGACTAAGAAATGAAGAAGTGTTGCAAAGAGATTACTGCCAGGGACAAATGTTGTGGTACAATATTTAATGACAAGAAAGGATGACATCACAAATGAAACTCTCTAGGCTCGGCTAATATGTGTAAATCTTGCTTAACTTGAAACATGGAGCAAGTATAGAAGTTACAAATTCTTGATGTACACCTAGGCTCGGCTAATATGTGTAAATCTTGCTTAACTTGAAACATGGAGCAAGTCTAGAATTACAAATCCTTGATGTTGGTATGTGCGTATGTCAAGTAATTGTTGTTTCATACTCTGTATTAATCCTTTGTTCCTCTGAGGCTCTAATATCATGTAAAGTTTAGCAAAACTGCTTAATCCACCAAATGACTCAGAATTCAGGCTAATCTACAGCATTAACCAGTCATACACTGACAGAACTGTATTGTATCATGATAGAGTGTGTTGTATATGTCAACCTGTTTACTATGTCTAATATTTCACCAAAAGATGATTAATTCTGATTGGTAAAATTCAGAAGCAGCAAAATGAAAAGGGGTTACTACAGAATATTTGATAAAATTTAAAGAAAGGGAAGAAGAGACAACAGAGGAAGAACAGTTCTCACAAACAACAGTTTCTACATGCTCCATACTAATCCTTTATTCACATCTCTTGGAATTCAGTAACATCATTCTTATCAAGTGTTAATTCTTCTCCCCCAGCCCAAACAATGTCTGAATGTCACTATGATATATTTTTAATGTTCAAAAGCAATATGTCAAGCACTGATATTCGATCTTCATGAGTACAAAGTCAAGTATAAATGCTCAGAAATCCAAAACAATATAAATCATCTTAGTGATAAATTATAAGTACCTTAAAGCTGATAAAAGCAATACCCCTGAATTTTCCAGTCTCAGGAAATTTCATACAATCAATATCAGTTATAGTACCACAATGATCAAAGAAACTCCACATATCATCCTCGGTCGAACTATATGGCATCCCTCCAACATATACTTTCTTACAATCATCCTCATTTCCTTCCCTGTCAAACAAATAAACCAAAACAACATCTATATAAGGCACCACTTCTCCTCCAAAAAAAATTGACATCAACATTTACAAACGCATACAATTACATACATAATAGTATATTAACATTAGCATTTAAGATTTAACAACAAATCAAACCAAACACAAAAATTAACCAAATGAACATGTTCAAATTTGAGATATACCTAGTCTCATCAACAATTTGTTCTGGAAAAACAGCATTATCAACCTCAGACTGCTTCTCCTCGGTCTCAATCTTTGCTTTCGATTTCAACTTCGATTTCTTCTTCTTTTTCTTTTTCTTCTTCATAGGAACTCTTTTTTCCTTGCTTAAATCACTACCTTCTTTCACACCCAATACAACATCGCCCTCACTTTTCTCTCCCAATTCATTCTTCTCCTTCTCCCAATTTAACATCTTCTTCAATTTCTTGACACCCAATGTTCGACCCTCGCCGCCATTTTCGACAACCTCAAGCTTTCCATCGCCATTATCGACAATCTTAAGCCCAAATCCACCCCCATTTTCACCTCTCAATTTCTCTATCAATTCATTCTTCTCCTTCTCCTTTCTCTTATTCATCTCAATCCTCTTCAATCTCTTGATACTCAATTTTTCACCCTCGCCGCCATTTGCAACAACCTCAAGCTTTCCACCGCCATTTTCGTCAACCCTAAGCTCAACTCCACCCCCATTCTCGTCAACCTTAAGCTCAACTCCACCCTCATCTTCAACACCCACTTTCTCTCTCTTCCTTTTCTTCCCCTTTGAAGATTTTTCAACATGAATATCGTTATTTTCACCAGTTGATAGATTTTCCCTGCGTTTTTCTCTCTTTGATAATCTGGGTTTCTGGGTTGTTGAATCGAGCAATTGTTTCAGTGATTTTGGGGTTTCTGGGTTTTTTACAATTTCGAAATCTGGGTTTTTTACGATTTCGAAATCTGGGTTCTTTGAATTTGAAATTTCTGCAAATTTAGCTTTTATTTGCTGCTTCAATTTCTTGTTTGATAACACCATTTCTTCTATTTCGATGAGTTTTTTCTGCTTCAATGCTTAAACCCCTAACTCCAGAATAAAACCCTTTGCCAACCAATTGTTTATGTACTTGTGCGGTAAAAGAGACAACAAATTTTACATCACCAAAACGAAGAGTTTTACAGGATTTTTTATGTTGATCGTGGCTAAACGGCGGCGTATTAGTGGAACCATGGAGACTTAGTAATAGGATAACTACTACTCCATTAGTAATTAGGGCATTGTTTAAAAGCACAAGTAACTGCAACTAGAGGTGATTATTGGGCGGGCACATGCCGGGCCAAGGTTAAAAATCAGCCCACTTCTCGGAGAGATTGAGCCGGATTTTTGTCAATCCCGCCTAAAATATCCGAGCTGTGCGGACTTTTAGGGGTGGGCCAAGAAAATCAATAAAAATACATAAAAAGTAAAAATCCATTCTCAAACCTGTCAAAAAAAAAAATAAAAAAAAAACGACACAGTCGAAAAAATCTGCCCAAAATCAGGTTGGGCTAATTTTGATCAAGTTGTTGTAGGGCTAACTTTGATCTGATTACGACGACTTTTAATGATAAGTTGATAAACCCTATTTGAGTATTGTCTACTCAGATCAATTACAATTTGAGTGTAGCCGACTAGCTAGATAGCGTTGTAGGTGACCTAGGTCACTAAGTGTAGGATTTACTTAGGATACACGGATATGCGACAATACGTCTTAAGCATCCCAAATTCCGAATAACCATTTTTATACAAGTATTTTTTAGACGACACAAGCCATATCCTACTACAATAATATTTGCTTCGTTTATTTATACAAAACTTCATCTTTTCATTGCTTCAACAAAACTTAATCTTTTCATTCCTTAAAAAAAAAAAAGAAAAAAAAAATATTCTTTTCATTTTCTTTTGGAAGATTAAAGTGAAGGAGGAGAGAAGATGTGTGGAACTGTGGATTAATGATGTGAATGTTTTAATACGTAGTAGGTTGTTTGTAGGTAGTAAAGAAATTAAATTTTCGATTTTTGATCCGGTTAAGCTTGGTCCGATCTTGGACTGGTGAATAGCTCTAACTAGCCCTACTATGTTACTGCAACTAAAAAAAATCTTCCGAATATAAAAGTGGGGGATTGTCAATCATAGAAAGATTGTTATATACACCCGGTGCACGGTGCACCCAAGGGTATTTGTTTGTCCATTTGATGATAAAATGAATAATAATTATCTAAATGAGCAAACAATACCCTTGAATACACCATGCAAACAATACCCGGATGAATATACCAATTTCTATTAATCGGCTTAGATTTTTGATACGGTTGATTTCTCTATTAGACAAACTATGCCTTACTGATAATGTGAAAGATTCATGGTAGATCTACGTGATAGATTTTCCAATGAAACGGTTGAGAAAAAAGTTACGATGATTTGTGTACTTTGTGGAATGAAATTGTAAGTGCTATTTAGGCTCCAACTTGTACTTGCTCCGCTACTATTGAATATGATGTGTTGCACTGTTGCTTGGCAGTTCATGAGTCATGATGCATCCCCTTCCCTTTCTTTCTTATGCTCACGGAACTGTGTTGGTTGCTAAAAGGCGTAACATGATAGTTGATGCACTAGGGACTAGCATCGATATGGCAAGCTTTGCTATGGATGGTCAAGCACAAGGATCTGGACAAGGGTTGCAGATTGGGGCAGCGTTGAACCTCATACTTGCTCACATTGTGGCCACAAAGATCCCGATAAGGAACATTGTTTGAGCTAGTTCGGTGTCCTGAGAAGTATACAGATCTTGGAGGTAGAGGTGCAGCCCATTGGGGCCCTGGAAGAGGCTACAATGGTGGGCATGGTCATGAAAATTTTGCCGCCAATACCAAGAGTTGACAGCAAGGTAGTAGCGATATGGGTGATGTAGATCAATCCATTTTAACTACATTGACTCCAACAGTTGTTTGCTACACTTAAGTTCACTAATACTACTGCTACTACTCCCAAATTGTTTTGAATCAATGGATTATTGACTCGGGTGCATTAAATCATATATCTAGTAATATTGACTTATAATTTGAACTGCATGATATTTTGCCAAACATGTCAATCTTCCTAATTCAAAACGTACTACTGCATCAAAGGACGGCCAAATTAAATTAAGTGAACACTTAATCCTGGATAATCTTTTATACATTCTTGCTCTTGTAATATGATGTTTGTATTTCACAGTAGTATTTTCTTTGGTACTATCAGCCAATAGACTTACAGCAACAACTTAAATTAAAGGGAAAATCAACTACGGAGTATTACAAGCTCTACAGTCTATATCAAGCAACGCTTTAAACTCCTAAACACCCCCACTGGAAGCTATGGAAATTAATCAGTTTCACCAAGTACTCCACAACATAAGGCATTACAACCTGTATGACTTATACACTAATTATAAGTCAAGTTACATGGACATGTTTTCAGAAAGTGACGGACAACTTAAAGCTGAAGTGATTAGAAACATATGTAATAACGATCTAAAGCTATGAAGTCGAGTGTATATATATGTAATGCATGCATATTCTGTAACCCTCACTCCACCAGTCCACCTGACCAGTACCAACCTCTTATCCTTTATCCCTTCCATCAATGATTCCACCACCACAACCCCCACCACACCTATCGAGCTTCTACTCTTATCCCTCCAATAAATTCTCCAACAATGCATAACACCACCCTCACCTTCCTTCACACAAGCTCCGCACCTGGAACCAAAAAAATATCAAGCCTGTCAATGTGCCAGACAAGTCAATAACAGCCTTTTTTTTTTTTAAAAAAAAAAAAAAAAAAAAAAAAACCCTTTACAAGAAAAGGAAATGATAAAAAATAAGATTAGTCTTTTTATGTGAAGAAACTCTCTGTAAGTTCTAGACTTACCCGTCATAAGAATTTCTTTATACTTCTATTCTCTTCTAGATATAGACTCATAATAAGTTGTTAGAGAGAACCTAAGATGAGATAGACAGTTTTACATTACAGCCGAAGCAGGGAACATTGTCTTATTGTCTCATAACAGATAGTAATTTAAGAAGTGATCCAAGAAGAGGAATCAAGTATCGTGTTGAGAGGTTGCATAATGCTCAATACTTGTCCCCAATTTGATGTTACACCCAAAAAAAGGCAAAACAGTTTCAAATTGTCTGAAAGTTTTATAAAGCTCCATAGTATTGTGGATTTTCAAGACAAAGCTGACTCTAGCTGAAGTTACAAACAAGGTTGCTTTACGCATAAGATAAAATGACAATATGAGATGGACTAGCAGAATAAAGGCCCTTGTCGCAAGGGAATCCATGCACAAAAATTCTGGAAAAAATTACCAGCTCTAAGTCAACCAGAGATCTTATCCAAATAAGTATTCCTTAATGAAGCAATCTATGTTGGAGCTATTACAAAAAGGCAGGAACCCTTATTACTATCAAAGGGAGGAGGAGTTCAAAGTTTCATAAAACTTCTCATTGACTCAGACAAGTCCTTGCAAAATTGATTCACATTTCGATGAAAAGAACATGAACAACCCCAATTATCTTCTATGAATTGACCACGACCAACCAATACCAAGTCATTCAGACATGGTCACTATTTTCCCCAAAGCACCACAACTTTCACAAACATTGCACCCTTACAAAAGGCAACAATGGTAAACCAATAGAGCTGCTGAGCAGAAAAGGCTTTATAATGTAATTTACAACTATTTTCCTTTGTTACTGTCAGCTCAATGGACAGCATCGACACACACCAATGACCAACCCAAACTCAAAAAAAACAAACATATCTTCACTACCACTAGGCACTCCCACAGTCTCCAATTCTCCATCAACTCATAATTCCCTATTTCACGCGAAGCCTTTTCATAGAACTTTCCCCCCCTCCCCCCCCCCCCCCCCCCCCCCCCCCCCCCGCTTTGGCAACGGAAGAAAAATTCAAGCTAAATTCAAGTTTCTTCTATATCTAGATCTTATTAATACGGATGAAACTACCCATAAATACAGGTATACACATATCATCCAATTTACACCAACTAAAATCATTTATCGATTAGACTCTTGGACACATGAATATGCATAAAAAGTCAATGATCAGTTTTCAGCAAAACACACCATTTATAAGATTTAACCTCATAGAAAGAATCCATAACAATTACAATAAAATGAATAATTACTTTTTCAAATCAAAACTAGTAGAATAATTTTGTTATTTGCAAAATAGTTCATTCACAAGTAGATTCAATACAATACATTCTACAATAATCCTTGCTATTTTATCAACTACCAATTACATACTGAAAAACCCAAATTCTCAAATTGCAACCCACATTCAATTTAAATTCTTCTGATCATCATTTTCGTCTAAATTCCCAAATTTCTGCTTGAATGCATCCTGCCTTTGTAACCACATCATATGCCCCTAAATTCGCCCAAATTTTCAGGTCAAAAATACGAAAAAAAAAAAAGCACAATTGATTTCTGTATTACACAAATTAAAAATCGCAAATGTAGAATTTCAATAGTAAACAAAAATAGAAAAGGATTGATTACCTGAAGTCCAGCAGCCCAAGCAATCAAGAGGGAGGCGACCCAAAATTTCTTGTCTTTGATTAAATCTCTAAACTCCATTTTAATGTGATTAAAAATCCAAACGTTGATTGTAAGATTTGTAACCCTAAAATCAAAGTTTCGAAAGTCCGGAGTATGGTAATTTCAGCTGGTCTAGAAGACTAGAAGGCGACAAGGCGTATTGTAGGCCTAGGTAGCAAACTATGGGGTTAAACTGTTAATTGAGTTGAATGGCTTGCGAGCAACTTGAATTGATCAAAGCTCGGTTAAAACTTGACTCGAGTTGTTTTAACCGAGCTGATTTGATTGAAATTCGTCTCGACTTGAAACGTTAATGAGCACTAGTTGAGCAAGCTCTGACTCAACACGATAAAATCTTGAGCAACTCGATAATATATTTTATTAATATATAATTTTAAAACAAAGTGACAATAATTAACAAAAATTAACACTTTAAGTTATTGTATATTATCAATAAATAAATTAGTACAAATTTTTACTACACCCCACGTCAGGGAACACTACCTGCACCCCCACACCCTCCGCTTGTGCCCCGCCCCGCCCCTTTTCATTTATGAATTTCTTGTAAATTTTTATAACATGTTCATTTCTGTATTGGTAAATGTTCATTTATGTATTATTAAATGTTCATTTTTATTAAAACGAGTTTTTTTTTTTCAAATTAATACTTTTTTAGAATTGAATTTTAAGATTTTTCTATAAATAAAAATAATAGAGCAAATTTATTTATAAGGATTATTGTGTTCATACTATTTTTATTATAAAACGTATTGAATGATCCAGTGTTCATTTTTGTTTATTCGTATTTTAACAGATGTTCATTTTTGTATCATCAAATGTTCATTACTAAAGTTATGTGTAAGTTTCATAGTAAAATGTATGCAAATACATACGTTTTAAAATTCTATTTATTAAAATAAAACGTTAAAAAATAATTCCCATTATAAAATAAATTTAATTTAATTACAATAATAACGCATTTCTATACAGCTATACTATTACATATTTACATGTAATTGTTTCATATACATGAAAGTGAACCAAATGTACATATGTGTCTTGTTAAATGAACATTCTTTGTTACATTTGGTATAATAAAGTGTCTATATATATAATCCTTCTTGTTGCACCTCTAATTATATATTTTTGTGTTTTCCATGAAAAATATAATATGAGCACAATATATATGTCGCCTTCAAGTTCCTTATTTGATCATCTTGCACAATAAGAGATCAATCAAATTTTCCAAAACAATAATAACAACACATAATTCCAAACAAAAGTACGTGAAATCTAAGGATTCAAAATTGAACATTTGCGCGTGAATAAAAATTACGAATTCAGAAATGAACGCACTATAAAGATACAAAAATATTTTAATATGAGTTGAAACCGTATAAAATCTATATGAACATATATTAAATTCTAAATGAACATTTATTAATATGAAAAAGAACATATATCAAAATCCAAATGAATATTTATTAATATGTAGATGACCATTAATAATAACTCAACTAGTGTGTTCCCCGGGCGATGCCCTGAATTGCTAGTTTGTGTACTTAATTATGTTTGACTATTTGTATAGTTAGTGTGTGTAGCGTTTCGGGCGTTGCTTCAAATGTTACTTTTTTTTTTTTAACATTTGTATTTATATTTAATCTTGTGAAAAATAAATGGATTATATTACCTCTAATTTACTTAATAATTGTAATGAATATATAATATTATGTCAAACTTGAAACATCAATAATAGTTGGTTGAGATGGTAAATGTATTACCTATATGTATTGGAGGTTATGGGTTCAAATCTTGTTCAAAGCATATTTTATTTTGTTAAGTGAAGTGCCTAGCTTATGTGGCGCATATAATTTGGATAATGATGTGGCATTGAGACATAGCACACATACTTTGAAGAGTGTCATGTAGCACCGTTCCTTTAAAAGGAACTCCTTTTTATATATAGTATATATAGATAGATATGTCAAAATACAACTTAATATATGTTGATATTATATGTGGATGAAATTAAATACCATAAGATTATATTATATTTTAAAATAGAATCATCAAAGGTCTATAATGAATTAACAATATGTGATTAATTGTTGAACATTTTTTAACATGTGAATGAACATACATTAATATATGTGTGAATATACACATATTCAAATGAACATCTATGTATCAAATTCGAATAAACATCTATCAATGTTAGATTTAAAATGTATGTAGTATAATATTCAAATGACGCTCATAAACATATATTAATTTAATACAAAACTAGGATAATCTTCTCTCACATTGTGATTGATCATTTTATAAAATATAAATGTTCATTATATATCCTTAACTAGTTTTGTGCCCCATGCGATGCCCAGTTTGTTTGTTGAATTTGATGTCAAATTTTAAAATACATCATTGATAGAAAATTAGTTAGGAATCGATGTCCTTTTGTGACGATTTGCTATTTAGTAGGCATGTAATGACTAATAATAATGTTAGTGGAAATGTTCGATTTAATTTAATACATTAAAAAAAAATTGGAAAAAATAATTAAATATAATAAATGTTCAAAGTGTGTTGGGTTGACCCGAACCCAAAACTTAGTTTTTACAAAAATTTTACGAATATCAAGAAAAATATTATAATATAAAAAATAAATTTTTATGATAATTATAATCGAATAATTTTTTTGTACATCTGAAATATAGGTATTTTATTGAAATTAAAACTCTAAACTAACAATTTTATAAAAACTCTATTCAAATAAAATTCTAAACTAATTTTTTTAATTTTATAAAGGATTTTTAAATCTATCCAACATGGCGCGACACTTGGCGAAAAGTTGGAACGCCAAGTGTCGTTGCCTCGTGACCTGACCAAAAGTTTAGCTTTATATATTAGTTATATGATATGATTATAATGATTTGCACTTAAATGGAAAAAGGATCACATTGATATATTTGCACTTGCATATTTATACATGTTCATAAGGTTACCATATGAACAATTAAGGGCTTGTTCACATTTACTTAATTTCAGTTTAGTTCAGTTCATCTCTTATCAGTTCAGTTCAGTTTAGCTCCTAATTTTCCTCTCTCATAAAATATTCATTTCAACTTAGTTCAGTTCAGCTCCAATCAGTTCAGTAAATGTGAACATGCCCTAACAACATGTGACTGACCATATATCCATATGAGATTAAACATATATTAAAATTCCAAATTGAAATGAATAATTGCCAATATGTGTGATGATTGACCATGTACCCAAATGAGAATGAACATGTATCAAAATTAAATGAATATTTTAGGTTAATGAAATGAAGGAGTATCAATAACCAAGTGTATATATTTGTTAATATGTAATACACAAGTATATATCAATATCTAGATGAATATGCGCATAACACTATTTAAATGGTCATATTTTAATATGAAAATGGATAATTATTAGAACTCAAATATGCATCTTTTGTATTAGTCTGTATGTATTTAACGTCAAATAAAAATACAAATGAACATCGTATTATCTTGAAATAATTAAACATCATATCATCTTACAATGCACAAGAATGAACATCTATCAAAACGAGAAGAACATCTATCATTTTATTAAAAAGGAAATTTATTAGCAATTACACGAAATAGATTAATTAATCCAGAAAATTATAGCAATTGTACATGCATTATTGTTTTCAAATTTTTTATCCAATAATGATGATCTAATATATTCAGCACAAAACTAAAAAAATTCAAAGTCTATCCCCAAAAAAATAATGAAATCACAAACTCCTACCTATTTTTTTTAGATCTATTGAAAAGTATATACTAGAGTATATTAAACGTTTCCATGGTTTCCTTCTCTATGATTTGATAATTAAATTGGGGAAAAAATTAGGGTAAATATATAAAATCAACAATTATACCAAATTGTTGAAATGGAAAAGGAGAGAGAAAATAGTACTTCGTCAATCAATTTGCATCGACGATGAAGCTCTGGCAAGGGGTGATTTGAATAGATGATGATGCAACTCTTATGAGGGAAAATATGGAGATCTTTTGGAGAGAGAAAATGAAGGTTGAAAGTTTTTGGAGAGAGAAAATGAAAATGATAAAGTTTTTGGAGAGAGAAATGATAAGATGAAGCTTTTTAGAGGATAACAATGGTTATGATGAGTATAGTTTTCTTTAAAAAAAACAAAAATTACATAGTATTTTAATCGGGAGGTGGGTAAGGAGGGGGTGAAGGTATCTCTACCTACAATGGGATGTAGGCATTAACTATTAATAAATTAATAAATACAATACTAAACTTCTAATTATAAATTCTTATGTAAAGTGGATAAAAAAAACAAAGGCATATAATTTAGAAGGGTCAAAACGTTTATGAGCAGATCATGAGCTATTCGTCTCGACTCGACTTGAAACTTCAACAAGCATGAGTCAAGCAAGGTACTAATGAGTTTATCGAGTAGCGAGCACAAGTTGAGTATATGTACTACTAAAAAGTTTTCGAGTCGAGTCAAGCATCCCTTAGCTCAAGATCGACTTCGCTCAATTAACACTACACACTAATTAGTCTATTACTTGGAGAGTTGTAGCAAATTAACCCCATAATTTATTTTTTTATTATTTTTTTAATTGTGCAATCAAAACCTATACATCAAATTTAAGCAAAATCACAATAAAAGACATAAATATTGTATATGGAATTATTTTTTTTAAAAAATCAAATGGATATTACATCGAACTTATACATATTAAATACATACTCCCTCCAAGGGCATCCTTTCTCAACTCTTGTTTGTTAAAGTTTTGAATTAATTACAAATTATGTTTTTGTTTGTCTTATTTGACTTTTTATGCTTTTAAAAAAATTTCAGTAATTATTAAAATTTTATAATCTTATAATAAACAATGTGATGAATATAATATACATTAAAATTTTAATTAACTATATTAAGCCTTGTTTATTTCACTTTATTTTTACTTATTTTAAGAAAAATAAGTTCTGATCAGGTCAGATTAGAAAATATAAGTTCAGATCAGATCAGATCAGAAAAAATAAAATCAAACTATCGTTCTATGTACATTTTTTTAACGCTAAAAATCTTTAATTTCGTAGTGAAAAAAATTCTAAAAATCACATATTAATAAAATACACATTATTACGAATCTAACAAGACCCCACTCGATATATTTTTTCTGTATAGATTATCATATATTTAAAGTCAAAGTTTGGTCAAATCTGACATTCAGATCAGATCATATTATACCAGACCAGATCTGATCAAACCAGATCAGATCAGATAAGCAAATATAAGGCGAATTAAACAAGACCTTAATGCGTGTAGATTAGTAAGATTTTTTGGTGAAATTTTATAAAGTTTGATCCCAAAAATTACAATAAGGCAAACAAACAGGGATATAAAAACAACGTACTTATCACCTTTTGTCTTACTAAGGCTATGCTTGGTTCATTTATTTTGTTTGAAACTAATTTATCTAAGCTGACACTATTTGTCCATTTTATCCAAACTTATTTTACTTTAACTAATTTTAATTTAATTTTTTTGAAAAGATTATAGTTAATCCCACTGTTTTTTTTTAGTATTTGACCGGTACTATCAATACTTTTAATTGCCTATTGATAAAATTCTACTCCCTCCGTATCATATTTTTGACGTTTGGAATTATGCGCGATTATTAATATTTTAGTTATTTATTTATTTTATTTTATTTTTTTGACGGGAAGCTAAAGCTTTTATTCAATCAAACAAGAAGGCTCTTAGCCATAACAGAATCAGTTACACCACTTGGATTTCTTCCATCCAAACTCTATGCTCAGAAAATGAGTTACATGCACAATTTGGCAAGACAATGAGCTACACGGTTACCAGTTCTCCTCACAAAAGAAAATGAGCAAGACTGACATGAAAAAGTGAGCCGTAGGATATCATTCACTATCTTCCAAAAGGCATGACAGGGAGCTAAACCCTTCACAAGGTGATTATGCAACTTCAAAGAATCGGTTTCTAAGCAAACATTTCGGAAACCAGCCTCAATTGAGATGTTTGAAGCATGCCTCATAGCAAGCGCTTCCGCTACATCCACCTCAAAACTGCCCTCAACTTTAAGATAAGTCGAGGCCACCACATCACCCACAACATCCCGCATTACTCCACCAAAACCCACCCCACTAGGAGAAAACAGAACAACATCAGAGTTTACCTTGATTAAGAAATTGTGTAAAGTTATATTGAAATAATTCAATTATTGAAAGTATAATTTTACTTTAAAAAAGAATATTTTACATGTGGGGCGAAGAAAGTAAGAAGGAAAAAGAAGTGAGAGGAGAGAGAAAGTAATAATGAGTACTTCATATTAGAAAGTCATTAAATAAAATAGTACTAAAAGTACAAATGCACGTTGAAAAGTGAGGATATTTAAGCATTTAATTAAATTGTAAAGGGATAATTTTGTCTAAAAATTATGACTTAAAAAGAAAAGATACTAAATGTAAAGAATATACATATATATTGACAAGAAATGAAAATAATAAAAAGGAACACCTAAAATGGGAACGTAAAGAACAAAAGAGAATAGAAGGAGTAAGGGGTCGTTTAGTTGGGGTCATTAATCATCAAAGGGAATGGGAATCAACTGCCCTCATTTCCTTTGTTATTGTTTGTTAGATCATTTTTCCCATTCCCTTTACCCTATTCATTCCTCCAAATCCAAAGTTCATTCCCCACCCCCCTAGGTATTTCCATTCTCATTCCCTACCCACCTTCACACCTACCAACACCATCGAAAAACCAGCCCACCTCCATACCAGACCACCGTTGCCCCTACCCTGACCACCGCCGTAGCTCCCCCGATCACCACTGCCTTTCCCCCGACCCTCGCCGCCCTCCCCTCCCTCGCAAAAACATCCCACAGCAACCAAAAAACCCTATAAACCCCTCCCTATCACTGTAAAACCACCGCCCAGCCCTCCCATCACCCTCGAAACCCTAGCGGCTAGGGTTCGAGAGTGGTGGGAGGGCTAGGCGACGGTTTCGGGGGAGAGGGAGATCGGGGCTTGGGTTTTGCGGGGCTAGGGGTGGTTTTTTCGGGGGAGGGAGGTCGAGGCAGGCAACCCTAGTGGCGGCGCGGCGAAGGGCGGGGAGTTGTGGAGGAGGTGTGGCGAGTGGTGGAGTGGCTTGGTGGTGGCTGGAAATGGTCGGAAGTGAAGCAATGTGGTGGTGGTGTGGTGGTTGGACTGGTGGCCTTCCTTCATTCCATTCCTTTGTTATTTAAAACAAACACCACCCCAAAATTGGGGGATTTTAATTCCATTCCTTGTCTTTCCCTTTGTTCATTACATTCCGATTCCCCCGTGCTAACCAAACGACCCCTTAAATTATTAAAAACTATGTTAGGTCCCGTGCCATGCACGATATTTTTTAATATGTATTCTTAAATTAAAATTATATTTAATTAATAAGTTTGTCTATAATACCATATTGAACTTATTGTGAAATAGTTAGGTATTTTAAAATACGCATTTGACAATATGTATTTTTTTTAATCTTGTTAACCAAATAAATTTTTTAAAACTATGTATTTAACCCATAATTTTTTTTTTAATACAAACTATTAATTTTTTTTTGAAATAAATACAAACTATTACTCACTCCGTCCCCGAATGATAGTCACTTTTGGATGAAAATCACGGGAATTAAGGAGAAATAAATAAAGTACATGGGAACTAAAATCCAATCATTTGCAAAATAAAAAGAAGAGAAACTGATTGTCATTAAAAAGGGAGACAACTCATTCAATTAAGGCACAAGTACAAAGGCAAATATGAGGGTATTTTGGGAAGCACATATAATACATCCAAAAAAAATGAGGGTATAAAGGTCATTTTGTGTTATTGTATGAGACCTAAAATTGTGAAATGTGACTAACATTTTGGGTGTCCAAAAATGAAAATAGTAACTATCATTCGGGGACGGAGGGAGTAACTTTTTTTTTTTTTGAATAGATACAAACTATTAACTTAATTCACCTTCCTTACGCAAATATTTTTTTAATCAGTAATTAGACAACATAAAATACTACTCTATATCTTTCATGTCAAATATTATTTTTATTATTCATGATTTCTAATTACTTTCTTAGAGCTTCTAATACGTAGTTGAAAGGGTAAAGTCGTATCCCCTAATAAAAAATAATTACCTAAGTCTTCTAACTAAAGTAGATAGGGAAGTAGGGTCGAATCCACAGGGAAATAAGTCTTTCTACTCCTAATTAATTATTATAATCTAAATTATCGAGGTAACCAATATTGATGTAAATAAAGTCTGTACTACGAAGAATAAGATCGGAGGAAATAAAATAGGGAGAAATTAAATATTAAAAGACCTAGGGCATAGGTTCACTAATAAACAATAATCCAGGGAAAATCATAATAAGCAATCATCAAGCATTGATTAATCAAATTATAAAGGGCTTTCGCTACGTATTATAATCACAGAGTTAATTTACCGGTATTAAATTTCATCTGTCGAATCTCGACTAGTACTTAACCATTTATAAATTAGTCCGCCTATTGAAACTAAGCCTAAACATCAATTCTCATCTGTCGAATCTCGAATTAATATTTCTAAACTCATACAATTAAATCTGGCCAAACCTAATTGCATAGCATTAAATCAATCAATAGGAAATTAACCAAGCATTGATAATCAACAATCACAAATTTACCCCTTCATAATATTTATTAGATCCCCATAAACCCTAGAAATAAAATTACTCAAGCATCATCATAACTAAACTAATCAAATAAATAAAGCAAGACATAATCAAAGAAGTAAATAAAATAACTTAAATTAAAAGAGAAGAAATTGTTACCAAAAGAAATATGGATTAATGAAAATAATTAAGAACAAAGTTGAGAGAGAATTTAAGAGAGAGAAAATATCCTAAGTAGAGAGAGAAAATCTAAAAAAAGGAAGGTAATAAAAAATTGCGTACATAATTCGTACTTAAACACTCCTAAAACAAAAACTAAAACAAAACTATCAGTTACTTAGAAAAACACGCGCCCAATCGGGCGAAGGGCCGCCAGATCGGGCCCGCCTTTTTACAACGCCCACTGCTGGTATGCTGCGCCCGATCGAGCTTACGCTCACCCGATCGGGCGCGCCTCTTCCTTGAGGTTACTTTTGCGCGCACCCGCCCGATCGGCCGTATGCTTGCCCGATTGGGCCCGACTTCTTCTTCGAGGCTTGGATTTCGATTGGGCTCGATTCCTCGGCCCAATCCGGGTTTCCTCATCGGGTCTTGATTAATTGATCCAATAGCTCCGGTATCATATACCGAGCCCTTGATCACCGGCTCTCACCGATCCTGGGCTTCAAGAATGGTCGTGTCCTTCTAGCTTCCGTAGTTGATCCATGAAAACCTGGGAAAATGCTCCAAAAGAACAATTTCCTGTAAAACTCAACTAAAACTACGAAAACACTAGAAAACACAAATTAGTAATAAAAGTGGCCCTAAAGAGCCAAAAACACTACTAATTATGACCATGGGATGGGGGTAAAACACTATATAAATTTGACATATCAGTAGTATATAATTTGATAAAAGTCTTCAAAAAAAAAAGTTTTAATAGTTGTACAATTTTTAGGAAAATTTGCAAATTACAGCCATTTAAAGTTCGTATTTTGCAAATTGCAGCCATTTAATTTTTTTTTTTTTGCAAATTGCAGCCCAAAAGTTCATATAAATTGTAGCCCGATTCAACTTTTTCATTGGTTTGCAAGTTGAAAAATCTTCGATTAAGGTTTTAGGGGCCATTTTAGCCCTTAGGGGTCCGAATTGAGCTCGGAATGAGCAAAAAAATAATGCAAGTATCTCGTTTTGCATAACAAAAATGTATCGATTTGTGGGAAACTGTAAATATGAGACACTTACGTTAGTTTTTTTTGCTAATTCCGAGCTCAATTTGGGTTCTTAAGGGATAAAATGACCCCTAAAACCTTAATTGATGATTTTTCAATATGTAAACCGATGGAAAAATTGAATCGGGCTGCAATTTACAATTTATACGAAATTTTGGGCTGCAATTTGCAAAAAAAAATTTAAATGGCTGTAATTTGCAAAATACAAACTTTAAATGGCTGCAATTTGCAAATTTTCCCAATTTTTACTTAACACTCCGTATGGCTCAAATTATGTTATAAGTATAATATATATTTTTTTCTTAAATTTATATAGTTGTCCGTACATATCATTAACCTATACTAAAAGCAAACCTAATATGACACTTGTCATAATCTCATTAACAATTTTCCCTCTCATTTTACTTTCCATTTATACGCAGGTTATTTAAGGAAATCATTTTATAATAATTTAAAATATCTTTCTTCCAATTAAAATTCTTAACAATAATAACTCTCCATATAAACCCAACTAATATATTTTTACATATAAGTAGTCAATTATTTGGTATTATTTTTGTTAAAAAATGAGGTAAATACTATTAAGCAATACTGCTAGATATTAGTTTAGTCTTCGATAATACTATTAACTTTTTTTTTCTTCTAATTTTGTCACTTTTGCAATAATGTTTAATTAAATTAAAAATCAAATAATTTGTTAAGATATATATATATATATACATATATATATATATACATATATATATATATACACACACACACACTTTATTTTCTACAATTAAAAGTCATATCAATACTAACGCAGCAGTGCATTTACTATCATTAGAATTTTTTTACAAAAAATAAAAATTTCAAAGACCTCTCTTTTTTTTTTTTTTAATCAAGTTTAAGTGTCACTAATCTTGACATTAATAGAAATACATATAAAATTAAAGTTATATTTATTTTTAGTAATATGAGTTTAATTTTTTTTAATAAAATTCAATGCAATAACTCTGTATAAAAATTTACTTTATAATAATAATGCATTGCACGGGACTTAAGCTAGTTATGAAAGTATATATCAAGTTTATAATATTTTATTCATGTATAAGATTTGTTTCCTAATTAAGGGAATGCTCTTATTGAATGAATTGAGCTGAATTGAATATTTTATGAGGGAAGAAAATTAAGAACTGAATTGAATTGAACTTATTGGAGCAGAACTGAAAATAATCTGAAAAGAACATGTCTTAAATATTTTGTTTTTTTTTTTTTAAAAAAAAAAAAAAAAAAAAACTAAGGGACACACCAAAAAAATGACACGTGTCATTGCTGGTGTGTCTTTTAGTATATATATACTACCTCCGTTTCTTTTTTGTTGACACGTATTCCTTTTCAGGAAGTTTTTTTTTAGTTGACACGTTTCCTATTAGGGTAAATTTTTTACCTTGCATTTACAAGGTACCCCACTTGCTTTTTCATTCTCTCTCACTCTCTCTCCTCTCCTTAATAAATGTGCCTAAATCAAACGCGTCAACTGAGTAGAAACGGAAAAAGTAGTTATTGATGATTGATAGACATTGTAACAACTAACAAATCTAATGATATACTGCCTAAAACCATTTATTCATTTAATAAGAGAAAAAAAAAATCCAAAGTGATGCAAATATATTAAAAACTGAGGGATATATGGTAGACATGTAGTGCAACCTTGAGGTCAGGAGTGTAAATTTTCTATAGTTCATATTTTCGAATTTAAAATACATGTGAATGATTCATTAAATGAGAAGTACGTACCATTAATAAAACTGATTTCTAATTCTATACAAAGCCATTCAAATTATTCAGGGCTCCATCATTAACCAAAATTTAGAAT